GGGGGAGTTTGGGGGGAGCTGGTTTGTGTGGCTGATCTGTGCTGGTGACTTGTCCCTCTGCTCTCGTCTGCAGAAAACCTTCACCCCCAACATCATTAGTCGGAAGATCAAGGAGGAGTAAGTGGCTTTGGAAGCGTTTCCAGGGGGTGTGGAGGTGGATTTGGCATGTGGGAGGGTCCCTGTGGGCTAAATGGGGGACACAAGGGTGATTTGGAGTCTGGAGCTTCTCTCCTGTGAGGAGAGACTGTGGAGCTGGGCCTGGTTAGTGTGGGGAAGAGAAGAGTGAGAGGATCCCATACAAATATCCCAAATATCCATACAAACCTCTCATCTGAGAGGGGATCCCATCAATCCATACAAATATCCCAAATATCCATACAAACCTCTCATCTGAGAGGGAATCCCATCAATCCATACAAATATCCCGAATATCCATACAAACCTCTCATCTGAGAGGAGATCCCATCAATCCATCCAAGGAGTCTCCAGATCCAGTGGTGCCCATTGACAGGACAAGGAGCACTGGCCATAAAGTAAACCACAACAAATTCCACCTCCACAAGAGGAAGAACTTTCCATGGAGATGGTAGATCACTGGGACAGGAGCTCAGGGAGAGTGTGGAGTCTTCCTCTCTGGAGACATTCCAAACCCACCTAGACTGGTCCCTCTGTCACCTGTCCCAGGGGGTTTTGCCTTGGGGGGAGGTTGCACTGGGTGATCTCCAGAGATCCCTTCCAAAAAACCAGTGGCCTGAGAGGGGATTGGTGGCAGGGCTGGGGGTGACAGGCCATCTCCTTGCTTCCCAGGCCCCGGGAGGATGTGTCAGTCAAGAAGGAGAAGAAGGAGCGGGAGCGGCAGCGCGAGGGGCACGGCCGGGGCCGAGGGCGGCCCGAGGTCATCCAGTCCCACTCCATCTTCGAGCAGGGACCTGCTGAAATGATGAAGAAGAAAGGTAACAGGCCCTACCCCCCTTTTTTTTGGCGAGGTCTGGAGGTGTCCCAGCAGCTCAGGGACACCCAGGGCTGCTCTTCTCCCAGCAGGCTCCTGGGACAAGACAGTGGACATGTCTGACTTTGGCCCTTCCCACATCATCAACATCAAGAAGGAGAAGAGGGAGACGGACGAGGAGACGAAGCAGATCCTGCGGATGCTGCAGAAGGATGATGTGAGTGGGGCCTGGGGGTGGCTGTGGTGCTCACAGGGCTATGCTG